CAACTGAACTTAAAGAAACTTTCAAAGTTCTTGACATTTTCTGTATTGACTGACCTACAAATTTTTCTTTGCTTATTTGAGCTGTTCTAGCCAAATAGGGCTATCTTCTTTATACCCCCCCTACCTTGTCACAACACAACTGATTGGCTCAAACGCATTAAGATGGAAAGAAATTCCAGAAATTAACTTTTAAGAAGGCACACCTGTTAATTGAAATGCATTCCAGGTGACTACCTCATGAAACTGGTTGAGATAATGCCAAGAGTGTGCAAAGCTGTCATCAAGACAAAGGGTGGCTATTCAAAGAATCTCAAATATAAAACATATTTAAATTTGTTTAACACTTTTTTGGTTACTACATGATTCCATATGTGTTAATTCATAGTTTTGATGTCTTCACTATTATTCTAGAATATAGAAAATAGTAAAAATAAATAAAAACCCTTGAATGAGTAGGTGTGTACAAACTTTTGACTGGTAATGTATATCCATATCCTCATTCAGCCACGACTCTGAGAAACATAGGATATTACAGTTTCAGGACCCGTTGATAGGATAGTCTTGAGCGGAGTTCATCCAGTTTGTTCTCCAGTGATTGCACGTTCGCCAATAGAATATAGGGCAATGACGGTCTATTTGCTCGCAGACGTCGTCTCGTCAGGATGCTGGCTCGCCTGCCTCCCTTTCACCTTCATCTTTAGAGTCCCGGGGATTCGGGATTGGTCCGGGTTAAATAGAAAGTCCAGAGCTGCTGACTTGTTGAAGTAGGAATTTCAGTCCGAATCGAGGTTAGTGATTGCTGTTCTGATGTCCAGAAGCTGTTTTCGGTCATAGGAAATGATGGCGGAATCATTCTGTACAATAAAAGTTATGATCAGTGTTAAGAAAACACACATAATAGCAGAATTATCAGGAGCCCGTAAGATGGTTGCTATCCACTGCAGTGCCATTTTATAGACTAGCTAGAAATGTCACGCATGACTCATCAGTGGGGGAGCTAGTCTCTATTTCTACAGATTCATATTTCAATTCAATTAGTGGAGGTGAAATTGATTTTAAAAGAGCTGCAGTACAAATATAACCTTGATTTTACATTAATGTAATGAAGCAATGATGATTGGGTAGATGATGATGATGACGGTGATGTTGAAGATGAGGATGATGATTATGATGATTGTGGCGATTGATGGTATCCAAGCAGAACTGTTATCTTTACAGAAGAAGCAATTAACTAAAAGCAATAGTAACACTAGTCCAGTCCCATGCAGGAAGAGCCTCAGTTACTCTGAACAGTGCTCGTTCATCTTCACAAGCAGTACTGTCTGTCAGCACATTCTGAACATTAAGTCTAGCATGGCTCATTTGACAGAGACACGGACCCACAATCATTATGACTACACTAAGTCCTTAGTGCGATGCAAAAAAAAACAACTCTTTGTCTTATGGAGAACAATTATGAATGACTGGTATTACATGCTTGAAAATCAATAATGAATATTAGGCACCTCAGTGAAGAACTAATAGGCTATGTCCCAAATGGCACCCTATTCCCTATGCAGTGCACTACTTTGGGCCCTGGTCAAAAATAGTGCACTACATAGGGAACAGGGTGCCATTTGGGATGCATACATAATGCTTTTTTACCATGCTGCTAGCTAGCTTCATTAAACTACAGGCTAATTAGGGTTTCCTTAATGGCCATGTGATCAATGTAGCTTCTTCTCACAGATAATTTTATCTTCTGTACTTGACTTGCATACAGTACATATCTGTGAAACCAGTTGGCAGCACTTTGTCTTAGTGTCTGGGTCCAAAATGGCACCCACCCTATTCCCTACACAGTTCACTACTTTGACCAGAGCCCTATGGGCCCTGGTCAAAGGTAGAGCACTATATAGGGAATAGGGTCCCATTTGGGACGTAGAACTTCGTCTTAGCAACAAAGGAAGACAGGAAGCGGCTTCACTGACCCAATAGCAAGAGTTTAAGAATCTTTGCTCGCTCAAGATAGACTTAATGATTTGAACTAAATCGGCTATATAGTTAATAGCTTTAAAAAGTCCTATTTAATCATACCGACGTATAGGCCTGTTGGCCATTAATTGAACCAGGAAGGACGCTTCCTATCACTACAGAATTAGATGGGCTTTGATATTTGGACCTTAAAAAGATTGAACAGGTTATTGAATATGAATGTTAAATGGTCTTACTGTTGGTGTGTGTATAGCTGTCTGGACCAGAGGTAGTTTGAGGTGATTTTAGCTCTGTGTTTGATGTGCAGTTGGTTTACTAAACTGCTGGGTCTCCTAAACCTTGGGGTGGGTTAGGTATTGAATATGTTGCCATGGCAGCTGGGGTGAGGTCTAGAGTGGCCTGTTTAGGGGTGTGTTAAGGTCAGAGTTGGATTTCATGTTACCTGCCCGTCTGGTAATGAGATCACTGCAACTGAAGTGCTAAACTCTTCCCTGTGGAAATAGGTTTATTTAGATTCCTCTGTGTGTGTTTGTGTGTGTGTGTGTGTGTGTGTGTGTGTGTGTGTGTGTGTGTGTGTGTGTGTGTTGCGGGGAAGTAGACCACTCAAACACCAAAGGAATAAACAGTGCACAATTACCTTTGAAATATACTTGATTACTCATATAAATATTTAACCCCCTACAGTCGATGTCCGTGCCCTCACGACAAAATATATTAGCATATGTTATAGTGTGGACACTATATAAATAATTACATTGAATATGTGTTGTACTTACCTGCAGTATAGTATGATTGCTATTCATGTATGCATGGTTATTATTGGCATTGACCATGACCTTTCCCCTTTGATGATGTCATCATCCAGAGTCAGATCTGTACAATGTGACTCTACCACAGGTTGAGTGGGCTGTATCGTTCTGCTGTTTTTGTACCATTTGTACATGGCTGTACACCTTTTATTTATTGGGTTGAAAGTAAAGGAAAGTAATATTGAAATGCGTGTAGGCATTCCTTGTCAAGTTACTACAGCATAATAAAAACATCTTCATCAACATCCGTCTGTTTAAGATAGAGATATCTGTTCTTTTGCCACATCTACGGTGGAAGGTGGCCGAGCTACAGTGGCGTTTGTCACACCATGAGACTAGGGTGGCTGGAGTCTTTGGCAATTTTTAGGGCCTTCTTCTGACACCGCCTGGTATAGAGGTCCTGGATGGCAGGAAGCTTGGCCCCAGTGATGTACTGGGCCGTACGCTCTACCCTCTGTAGTGCCTTGCGGTCGGAGGCCGAGCAGTTGCCATACCAGGCGGTGATGCAACCAGTCAGGATGCTCTCGATGGTGCAGCTGTATGACTTTTTGAGGATCTGAGGACCCATGCCAAATCTTTTCAGTCTCCTGAGGGGGAATAGGTTTTGTCGTGCCCTCTTCACGACTGCCTTGGTGTGTTTGGACCATGATAGCTTGTTGGTGATGTGGACACCAAGGAACTTGAAGCTTCCAACCCTCTCCACTACAGCCCCGTCGATGAGAATGGGGGCGTGCTTGGTCCTCCTTTTCCTGTAGTCCACAATCATCTCCTTTGTCTTGATCACATTGAGGGAGAGGTTGTTATCCTGGCACCACACGGCCAGGTCTCTGACCTTCTCCCTATAGCCTGTCTCATCGTTGTCGGTGATCAGGCCTACCACTATTGTGTCGTCGGCAAACTTAATGATGGTGTTGGAGTCGTGCTTGGCCATGATGGTGTTCTCCGTTTTTGCTCTTTGACACCCACAAGCGTCACCCTGATCTTTCTTTTATCTCTCAGATATAGAACAGGCACTTTAAAACAAACATATTTTTTGGCTCTGTTTTTCCATGCATGAATCTGTTATTCAATGCGTTTCTGTGGGCTTTTCAATGTTTGAACAAATATTTTGTTTATATATTTTTTGGATACCTAAAGGGGTTCTAAAATTCCAAATGAAATAGCTAATTGATCCTTGGTATGACCATCTTAAAACAATGTTAGCCCCAGCTTAGACTCTTAAAGATTTAAATCATGAACATAACTATTCACATAATTGCAACACAACACAAGTGAAGTGAAGTTTGTTTGATTAAGTTTATATTGAATTGTAGGCCTAGTTATTTTTTTACTTATGTTCGAGTTTGGAGAGTGATTATTATTCAAACTATGATTCTCAATTATAATGAGCATATTGAACAGTTACAGCTCCCATGGCTAATTATCCCAGCAAACAGAGAGAAAAATAATTTGAGTGGTCAAAAGTTAATCAAATCCATGAGAGGGGGATTTCTATGGAAACCAGATGTATTCTATATGTGAAGAGCTGTAGCTACATGCATAAAGCCCAGAGTTGTTTTCGCTGAGGCTCTATAAGACATATGGACTTAACAGTCTGTTTTTAGGACATAATACATATGGTAATCTCTCACTTGGGGGGAATTGGTTTACTTCTAGAAGGTCTTTCTGTCTGAATCCAGCTCTTATATTTCCCAAAGCAATTACAGTGAATTTAGACCAGTTCTTTCTGCACTATCTCTCTCCCCGGTGGAGGACTGGGTTTCAGTATTGAGTGTTTCCTCTTATTCTTCTCTTGTTCTGCTGTGGCTGTGTGGAGAGCTATATGTATGGTGCAGACGGCTAGCTAGAGACAGAGACCCAGCGCACTCTACTGGTGGTAAGGGGAACTACACTCACTGTGGCCTGGATCTGTCAGAGGAGAAAATCGATACAGCATCCATCCTCCTCGGTGTGTGTGTTTGTGTGTGTGCGTGAGAATGAAAGTGGAGTGAGTGAGGTGAGAGAGGGAGGTGGGTGGGTGGGTTGCTGGGTACCTAAAAGTGTATTGAATAGTTGCTGCTTTCCCACTCACCAGTACCACCAGTCTGTCACGTTTCAGTCATTCATCTGTGTCTGCTACTGAGATTCAGTATGATAGTCCTGTGTGTGTGTGTGTGTTTGTGTGCTCGCTTTTGTGAGTTGTAACGGTCTCCGTCTCTCCTTCTCGCTCTACTCCAGGTGTGTGTTCTGACTCCCCTCCTCTCTCTACCCCACGCAGGTGTGTGTGAGTGTGCCGACTTCACCACAGGACCGAACTGCGAGCACTGCCTGGGTGGTTACTATGGCAACGTGTTGATTGGCACAACCAACGACTGTCGAACTTGCCCCTGCCCGGACCGCACTAGCTGTGCTCAAATGATGGAGATGGGGGATGTGGTCTGTACCAACTGCCCTCCAGGACAGAGGGGTGAGACGAAATCATATTACATTACTGTTAGATGTATGGTAATGGGAACAAACCATTCCATTCCCCCAACCTGGGATGCATCCCAAATGTCACCGTATTCCCTATATAGCACCCTATTCCCTATATAGTAGACAATAGGGTGCCATTTGGGACACAACCCTGAAGTTCATTGTTTGCTCAGTGAAGCAGATTTCCACAAATTGGCTGACCGGTTTTTATAAAACCAGTGTCCTCACTGTCTTGATCAAATTAATCTTGATCCTAGCATGTGTAGAGCACAGTGTGTGAATTAAACATATTCCCTTGTCATTACAATAATTTAATATAGCTGAATTTGAAGTTTGTCTGAAAGATATTGATTTAGGTTTAAATTAAAATGGCCCCCGAAACCCCCCACCCACCCACACACACACACACACACAAACACCTTCTCTCCTCAGGAACCAGGTGTGAGATGTGCGAGGACGGTTTCCACGGTGACCCCCTGGGCCGGTCTGGGCTGGTTCGGCAGTGCGAGCGGTGCGACTGTAACGGTAACGTGGACCCCAACGCGCTAGGCGTGTGTGATCACATGACGGGCCGCTGCATTAAGTGTCTGGGACACACAGAGGGAGACCACTGTCAACGTTGCCGACGCGGTTACTATGGAGATGCCATGGACCGGACGATGGCCCGGAAGTGCAAACGTGAGTGTGTGAACTTGGGAAGGGTGTATATAGTTGTTGTTTTTTACTGTGACATAGGTTTTTGAATTAAGGGGAAATACAAAATAAAAATGTAGAATGTTTTGACAATGAATGTATTTGAATGTGTTATATCGTTTGTTTGTGTGTATCGATGTGTGTTTGTGTGTCTGTGTATATGTGCCCTTTATGTGTGGATATATAGTGAACTTTTCTTGAAGGTTTGAAAAGTGTTTTCCACTTACTGTACTATTGACTTGACTTCAGCAATTCTCACAATTCTAAAGATTCTAAAGATAGTAAAATGATTCTTATTCAAAGTTAGAGCTTGGGAGTTGTGGTTAAAAGTGCCATTAGGAACTCCACAGTTGTTGTAAAGTGGGAGAACATCTTGTTTACAGGCTCTCTCTCTCTCTCTCTGAGTGAACGGGGTTCAGAGAAAGAAGCAGCGGGCAGTCTGCCCTGACGAGCTGACATTCCAACCACAGTACTTTGTCTCCATTATAATGTATGAATAGAAAGAGAAAAGTTTCAACTTAAAATACACTTTTTTCTCCTGATATACATGAAGAGCCTTGGAGGATTTGAATACTGCAGATGTATGAGAGTGAGAGTGATAAAGAGAGAGAGATAAAGAGAGAGAGATAAAGAGAGAGAGATGTATGTAATGTCTCTGTCCCCCAGAAGTACCTGAGCTGTTCCATCTATAACCCCAGGGCTGAGCAGAGTTTGCATCCTAAATGGCACCCTATTCCCTACATAGTGCACTAGTGCACTGATATAGGGAATAGGGTGCCATTTGGAATGCAACCAGAGAAGACAGAGTGGTGAGGGAGAGGCCCATGAGTCTCCCTGAGTCTCACTCTGCTGTCTCCCTCACTGAGTTACACACACACACACACACACACACACACACACACACACACACACACACACACACACACACACATACACATACAGGGAAACACTGAGTTACACACACACACTCAGTCTTAGGGAAATATGGCTGCCCCACAGACATCTCACAGATAGATGGTCTGTTCTGCCACTACACTGTTCCAGATCACATTCTCTCTCCAGATTAAATCCTGCAACTAGTGAGGTCTGGCCGCCCGACACCCTGCCCGCTCGACCCCATCCCCTCCTCCCTTCTCCAGACCTTCTCCCAACTCATCCCTGACCACTGGCTGCATCCCCCGCCTGAATCGCTCCCCTCAAGAAACCAACGCTAGACTCCTCTGACGTCAAAAACTACAGACCAGTATCCCTTATTTTCTTTCCAAAACACTTGAGCGTGCTGTCTCTGACCAACTATCTCTCTCAGAATGACCTTCTTGACCCTAACCAGTCAGGCTTCAAGACAGGTCACTCAACCGAGACTGCTCTTCTCTGTGCTCTTCTCTGTAGAGCATGACCCTGGACAATACCCTGTCGTTCTCTGCAAACATTAAAGCAGTGACACGCTCCTGCAGGTTCATGCTCTACAACATCTGTGGAGTACAACCCTAACTCACACAAGGAGCGGCTCAGGTCCTTTCCAGGCACTTGTCACTCGCTGTTGGCTGGGCTCCCCGCTTGGGCCATCAAACCCCTGCAACTTATCCAGAACGCTGCAGCCCGCCTGATGTTAAAACTTCCCAAGTTCTCCCATATCACCCCGCTCCTCTACACACTCCACTGGCTTCCAGTCGAAGCTCACATCCACTAAAAGACCATGGTACTTGCCTACAGAGCAGCAAGAGGAACTGTCCCTCCAACCCGAGCACTCTGTTCTGCCACCTCTGGTCTTTTGGCCCGCCCACTCCTACGGGGGGGGGGGGGGCAGCTCCCGCTCAGCCCAGTCCAAGCTCTTCTCTGTCCTGGCACCCCAATGGTGGAACAAGCATCCTCCCAAGTACCTGCCATCTTCCGAAAACATCTGTAACCCTATCCCCCTCGCACCCCCCTTGTAAAATAGAGTGAATGGATAGATTAGAAGATCGAGTGAATGGATAGAAGATTGAGTGAATGGATAGAGGGAGGGAAATAATCGATCACAGCAGTGTCTGCATTGATAGAGGGATACGCTTCAGTGTTTTGTCAGGCTTGTCACAGACCCATTCTTTATACTGTGTTTAATTTATGTACTTTTTCTATGATGTATATGATTCACGTACCTTTTTGTATACTGTGTTTGAATTGTGTTCTGTTTTGATCATGTATGTGTGTGTTTGATGTGAGGTTGCGTGGTTGATGTGTGGTTGACATGTGGTTGTGTCTTCACCCAGCCTGCGACTGCAGTCCTGCAGGGACTTCTGGGCTGTTGGAGGACTGTGACCCCCAGACAGGAAGTTGTCAGTGCCTTAGTCATGTGACCGGGGGAGACTGTGGCCAGTGTTCAGTCGGCTTCTTCAATCTGCAGCCTGGAGTAGGCTGTGAGAGGTACAGGGAATTCTCCAGGGATTCTGCTATCTTCTATATGGTTTAGAATAGGCATTTTATTTCTGTGGTGCTGACTCCATACTTATACTGTAGTTCTGTTTTGTATCGTTAATAGTTATTACAGTATGTGAATCACTTTTTACATCGTCTGTTTCTAAGGTGCAACTGTAACCCCATTGGCTCGTCTTCCACGGCGTGCCACCAGATCACAGGGCAGTGTGTGTGTCGGCCGGGAGTGGAGGGGCGGCTGTGCAGCACCTGTCGTATGGGCTTCTTTGATTTCTCCTCGCGAGGCTGCAGAGGTAGCTACAGTAGCCTATACTGTAATTGGGGCTAGAAGTCCTTGTGTGTCAAATACTAAGACAAACCAAAATATATGCTAAAACAAGTAATTCTGATAACAATAAGAAGTAAAAAAATGCAACACGCAAACATGCAATGTCCAATTCTTCCATTGTTTCACCCCTCTCTGACATCCATGTCCCCTGTCTCTTCTACCCTGTCCTCTGCCCCCTGTCCACCCTTGTTTCCCTCTGTCCCCCTGTACCCTGTCCCCCTGTCCACTGCCCCTCCCCTGTCCGTCTCAGCCTGTAACTGCGACCCTATGGGATCCAGCTCCATGCAGTGCCACACAAATGGCACCTGTCCCTGCCGCCACGGCTTCGTGGGGTACAAGTGTGACCAGTGTGAGCTCAACTACTTCCACAACAGAGCCACGCACCAGTGTGAAGAATGCCCCATCTGCTATGGGTTGGTCAAGGAGCAGGTAAGATTGCGTGCGTTCAGATGGCATCTCACTGTAAGTCTCTCCAGCTTCCTCTCTGTCTCGGTTTGCCTCTCTGTCTGTCTGTCCGTCCATCTGTCTGCCTGCATCTCTATCCGTCTGTCTCCCTTTCTGCTTCTCTGTCTCTGTGAGGTAAATCTTCATAGGGGATAGGTGCTGTTATTAACCCATTACCATCGCATAATGCAATTTGCTCCAAAACAAAAGTTTGTTATTCAAACACCTACCCAAGAATGTCTTTGTAGTCTAAAATCGTGGCCATCTGGACTCCTTATTTAAAAAGCCAAGGTAAATTAATAGTCAGAGTGAAGTCAATGTGAAGATACAGAAATAGACTCTGTGCGTCCCAAATGGCACCCTATTCCCTATATAGTGCACTACTTTTGGCCAGAGCCCTATGGGCCCAGGTCAAAAGTAGCGCACTGCACTATATAGGGAGCCATTTTGGGATGCAGACAGTTGCTTTAATGATCCAGTATCTCTCTCTTGTCTCCAGAGATTAGAATCAAACCCACGCCCCATATGTTCTCAACGCTATGCAGTGGGGGTGGAGAGAAAGAAACCATAGAGGGAGCACTACAGTATAGAAACAGAGGGAGAAATCGTTTCCTCTCTTGTGCTGTATACAGTAATATGTTCCTTTTGTTCATGTACGTAAAACTATTAAACTGCAAGATACCATACTGTGTTGAGTGTGCAGTAATTGTTGTTCTTGCTGTAATATAATAACAGATTTTACCTCCGGGTGGGCTGAAGTGACCAAATTATAGGTTTTTAAAGGGAATGAAAGATAAGTGGTATTATAAATGCCCTCTCAACCTACAGATGTCTTAATTTGACCAGTTTGTCACAGCAGGAAAATAATCCAGCAGCAACAGGACATTTGAGTTATTATGTGGATTATAATTTATGGACATGTTTATAGGGGTTTTAAGTGAAAATTACAAACTTTAGAAGCCTTTTTAAACCTCGAATTCACTACAAATTGCATTTTCTGCTGCACAGGAAAATTCTCTGCGACAACAGAGTGATCAAATTAATATAGGACATCTGTACCTCCTCACCTGCTAGTGTTTAGCAGTGACACACACACACAGGTTGAGCCTGCTAATTGCCTACTCCGAGAACTTTTGGCTCCAATGTATGAAACTGTGCTTAGGGTTGCGCTTGCCCTGTTCCCACTGTGCAGAGGGTATTGCTTTTAAAATTGACAATAGTTTTCACGTTAAGATAGACAATCTACTCTTAACGTAGATGTGTATCTCTGTGTTTTGAATGAGATTGAATGTACTGCAAATTTGGCTGGGTGTGATTTGTTATTGGCCATCTGCTTTCATTGACAATCTCATGTTTAAAAAGGCCCAATGCAGCTGTTTTTATCTCAATATCAAATCACTTCTGGATAACAATTAACTTGTGATTTCGATTAAAATGGCAAAAAAATAAAAATAAATACAGTGGGGGAAAATAGTATTTAGTCAACCACCAATTGTGCATGTTCTCCCACTTAAAACAATGAGAGAGGCCTGTAATTTTCATCATAGGTACACGTCAACTATGACAGACAAAATTAGAAAAAGAAATCCAGAAAATCACATTGTAGGATTTTTAATGAATTTATTTGCAAATTATGGTGGAAAATAAGTATTTGGTCAATAACAAAAGTTTCTCAATACTTTGTTATATACCCTTTGTTGGCAATGACACAGGTCAAACGTTTTCTGTAAGTCTTTACAAGGTTTTCACACACTGTTGCTGGTATTTTGGCCCATTCCTCCATGCAGATCTCCTCTAGAGCAGTGATGTTTTGGGGCTGTCGCTGGGCAACACAGACTTTCAACTCCCTCCAAAGATTTTCTATGGGGTTGAGATCTGGAGACTGGCTAGGCCACTCCAGGACCTTGAAATGCTTCTTACGAAGCCACTCCTTCATTTCCCGGGCGGTGTGTTTGGGATCATTGTCATGCTGAAAGACCCAGCCACGTTTCATCTTCAATGCCCTTGCTGATGGAAGGAGGTTTTCACTAAAAATCTCACGATACATGGCCCCATTCATTCTTTCCTTTACACGGATCAGTCGTCCTGGTCCTTTTGCAGAAAAACAGCCCCAAAGCATGATGTTTCCACCCCCATGCTTCACAGTAGGTATGGTGTTCTTTGGATGCAACTCAGCATTCTTTGTCCTCCAAACACGACGAGTTGAGTTTTTACCAAAAAGTTATATTTTGGTTTCATCTGACCATATGACATTCTCCCAATCCTCTTCTGGATCATCCAAATGCACTCTAGCAAACTTCAGACGGGCCTGGACATGTACTGGCTTAAGCAGGGGGACACGTCTGGCACTGCAGGATTTGAGTCCCTGGCGGCGTAGTGTGTTACTGATGGTAGGCTTTGTTACTTTGGTCCCAGCTCTCTGCAGGTCATTCACTAGGTCCCCCCGTGTGGTTCTGGGATTTTTGCTCACCGTTCTTGTGATCATTTTGACCCCACAGGGTGAGATCTTGCGTGGAGCCCCAGATCGAGGGAGATTATCAGTGGTCTTGTATGTCTTCCATTTCCTAATAATTGCTCCCACAGTTGATTTCTTCAAACCAAGCTGCTTACCTATTGCAGATTCAGTCTTCCCAGCCTGGTGCAGGTCTACAATTTTGTTTCTGGTGTCCTTTGACTGCTCTTTGGTCTTGGCCATAGTGGAGTTTGGAGTGTGACTGTTTGAGGTTGTGGACAGGTGTCTTTTATACTGATAACAAGTTCAAACAGGTGCCATTAATACAGGTAACGAGTGGAGGACAGAGGAGCCTCTTAAAGAAGAAGTTGCAGGTCTGTGAGAGCCAGAAATCTTGCTTGTTTGTAGGTGACCAAATACTTATTTTCCACCATAATTTGCAAATAAATTCATAAAAAATCCTACAATGTGATTTTCTGGATTTTTTTTCCTCATTTTGTCTGTCATAGTTGACGTGTACCTATGATGAAAATTACAGGCCTCTCTCATCTTTTTAAGTGGGAGAACTTGCACAATTGGTGGCTGACTAAATACTTTTTTCCCCCAATGTATATTCTTAGCAAAGAGCAATTTCTCAAGCAAGAACTTTGCTAGGACTGTCTGGGTGTGGTCTTAGTGGGGAGGGGACAACTGAAAACTAGCTGTTATTGTCAGAGAGGTTTGGAACTCTTTCTTATTGGTCTATTAACTAATTTACTCCCCACCACAACAAGCTGAAATTTCAAGCAGTCCTTTCAAACAGCTCTAACACTAAAAGGGCAGTATCATCATTTTCAGAATCTCACTGTATTATTACAACCTCAGTGTGGAAATATATATAAAACACAGGAAAATCTTTTTGACTGCACTGGGCCTTTAAAAGGGTGAAATGCGTACACCTATACAACATTTTCCTGGTCCTGGATCTGAAAGGAAACCATATCTTCATCAGGAACCAGTTTGGGGTCTAAATGTTGTTCTTTTTTCATTACACATTTCAGGAGCAGCATACCAGAGTGCAAATGTGTATTTTTATCATCATTGACAATCTCCCCCACCAAACCTCCATTGTATGGTGTTCTGGTGTTTTCCCATACAGGCAGGGAAACTGAAGGCACGGCTGCAGAATTTGGAGAAGCTCCTGGCACGCTTCGACTGCCGGAGTGACTACGGGCGCCAGCATCACGTGCGTGAGTATCACGTGCGCCAGCATCACGAGCGTGGGCATCAGGGGGAGGACAGCCTGCCCAATGCCCTGGAGGAATTCCTGGCTATCCAAGGTAACCAATCAGCACCCACTCACTCATTCCACACGAACAATCAGAAAACTCTGTGACAGTTTGTTATTTTCAACCAACCAGTCAGGACATATCAGAAATCGGAAATCCCTTTGTCAATGCTGTTTAACACTGTACTCTCATTTGGCCATTATACCTGACATATAGCCCATCTCACGCTGTAGATTACAATACCATCATGCCATCCCATTCCGTATTACTGTCAAGTAGATCTAGAGCAGTTGACACCGATCTGCACCCAGAATGACTGTACATGCCTAGCTGACTGTTCAGCTCGACATTGTTAAAGATATAACACAACATAATGGGATAGAAAGAGACAGAATCAGCATGAATCAGCAGTCAACCAGAGTAGCAATCATCCCTCCACAATTACTGACTTTCTCATTATCTTATGAGCAGAGGGGGATGTACCATAAAAGGCTTACAGGTTCATTGACATGGACAGAATGGAGGCTGAATCCCAACAATACAGAACAAGGCAGGCAGGGCTATGTATGAGCATCTTAATCCCTGTTTGTATGACAGACATGCAGCAAGCACATCTTTAATCCCTCTACCTCATTATGATTAGAGCTCTAATCAGGATTATGGCTGTCCGACCGCTGCCCACGCTACTTTGGTACACCGCTAGTCTCTGGTGGCGGGACATGCCGCTCTGTGTGGTCCAATAACGCTAGGCTAGGAGGGGGGCTCTGTGTGGATGCACTGAGGCAGAACAGTATACACACACAGACAAACACACGCACACAGACACAGTTTACCATCCCACAGAGGGAATAACGCGGTAATGACCCTCCTCTCACAAATAGACCCAGAATGCCACATGAGCTAGGCACACTGCAGTAAACATTATGAGACACAACCTAACAATAGAACTAGAATAACCAAAGGCACCCGGACTCACTGTGCAGTGAGTTCAGTCTGAGAATTTACAGTAGACCATATGCAGGACATGATAAAATGCAATGGTTCCACTGCAAATCATACTACAAAGGGGTTGGCAGGCCTTGTGTCCTAAATAACAATAATATTGAAATGGAATCCAAAGGATCCATTCAACGATCCATGCTGTGTGTTTAAGTTTGCTCACATCTGTTCCTTTGATTCCCCGCAGAGGCAAAAGAAGCCTTTGTCGAACAGTTTGCTCTCCTGGAGTTGTCTACACACACTCTCTCAGCCCAGCTGCACACTGTTACCACAGCTATGAACTGTAGCGCCAGCATGGAGGAAGAGCAGAAGGAAGAGGAGAAGGAGGAAGGGTGGAGAACATTGTGCAGGACCCTTGCTGACTCTGTGTCAGTGGTTAGAAGTGCACAGACCCAGCTGAAGCAGGCAACTCTGGACCTGGACAACATGGTCAGTGGGACATTTAATCTCACACTCTGTCCCAAATGGCACCCCATTCCCTACATAGTGCACTACTTTCGACCAGTGACATGTACCCTGGTCAAAAGTAGTGCACTAAATAGGGAACAGGGAGCCATTTGGGATACAGCCACTGTCTCTGACACATCAATGCCTGCTGTTGAGTCTGTCATTTGAAGTATTCATAAATGTATACTGAACAAAAAAATTTACCTCAACATGTAAAGTGTTGGTCCCATGTCTCATGAGCTGAAATAAAATATCCCAGAAATGTTCCATGCTCACAAAGAACATATCTCTCAAATTGTGTGCACAAATGTGTTTACATCCCTGTTTGAGAGCATTTCTCCTTTGCCAAGATAATCCATCCATCTGACAGGTTTGGCATATCAAGAAGCTGATTAAACAGCATGATCATTGCACAGGTGCACCTTGTGCTGGGGACAATAAAAGGCAACTCTACAATGTGCAGTTTTGACACAACACAATGCCACAAGTTGAGGGAGTGTGCAATCATCATGCTGACTGCAGGAATGTCCACCGGAGCTGATGCTAGAGAATTTAATGTTCATTTCTCTACCATAAGCCACATCAAATGCCATTTTAGAGAATTTGGCAGTATGTCCAACCGACCTCACAACCGCAGAACATGTGTAACCACGCCAGCCCAGGACCTCCACATCCGTCTTCTTCAGCTGCGGAATCGTCTGAGACCAGCCACCCATACAGCTGATAAAATTGTGGGTTTGCACAACCGAATAATTCCTGCACAAACTGTCAGAAACAGTCTAAGGGAAGCGCGTCTGCGTGCTCGCGTCCTCACCATGGTCTTGACCTGTCTGCAGTTCAGCGTCTTAACCGACTTCAGAGGGCAAATGCTCACCTTCAATGGCCACTGGAACACTGGAGAAGTGTGCTATTCATGGATGAATCCTTTTTTCAACTGTACCGGGCAGATGGCAGACTTAATTCTACAAAGACTCAACAAACAGAAAATTCAGAGTTTTTTTTTAGAATTAAGATAGACTTTATTACAATCAATATAGCCGAGGTGGTCTGCAGAGCATCTAACTTTCCACCTCTCAGCTCTCAGTTTATATAGTCATTTTACATATATTTGAGCTTAATCCCTCCCTCTTTGATTCCTCCACCACTGTCTCCATTTTCACCTCTTGACCGCTCCGCCCACTTCCTTAATGGCGGTATCTGACTTCTCTCCCTTCTAGTTCCGGGTCTGGAAACAATAGTGGTGGGACCACCAAAATAACAGAGCCCTTTCCTGGCTCCATTCTGACCTGCTAATTGATTCCCAAACCTATCAATTGATACTTAAACATGGCTTAAAACATGGCAGGTCCATAATCAATTTCTTAAACATATACCAGCCTCCTCCCTCTGTACCACTCAGTCCAAACGCCCCTCATGCTGTGATCAACCATGTTTAGTCTGAACTCTGTTCAACCCTGGCTCCATTCCAGGAATATGCCTAAGGAGAGAGGCAAAGGGAAACAGTCTGGTTTCAGTCACTGATAATGTTCCTCCATGGGCTGTATTATTAGGATTAAAGGTGTATCACTCGCTTCCAAACATAACACAGACTCCGCCTTTTTCTGCTAGGAGCCAATCCAGAGCCTGTCTATTCTGCCAGGTCATCCTACTTGTTGCCTGTACTTGTTCTCCCAGCGCTGACAATGCTGAGTCAATATACTTTATGAACCTCTGCTGATTGTAATATATGTAATTGATCCATTCCACATTTTTATTATTAGGAGTTATCCAAATAAGTAATGATTCAAATCCTGATTATACTCACTCCTAGCTTTAAATTCATTGGGAATTCCTCTAGGTTGGCCAATAGCATCTATCTGTATGTTCGGATAGGCTTCATATGCCCTTTTTGATCTTTGTATTTTAGTATCTCGTGTATCAACATTTAAGGCCTTCCAGTCCACTATTACAACTTTTTGTATTAGCTGTACTCTGGCACAGATCCCTTTCCATCCTTTTGGCCATAATGTCCTGTGTTGCCTCTGACAGACACAGAATAAATATGTAATAGCCACTGACTGATCCTCATAAGGAGCGATCAGCAGTAATGCCAGTGTCTGATTTTCGCATACTTCCAGGATAACTATTACCCCAGTACTTGACCCTGCTGCCTGATACATTTTTCTTTGAGGGGTGTCTGCATTCCTAAAGCTATCTGCATCTAGGTGCCATGTAGTTTCACAATCTCCCTTGAATTCTCCCAAATGATATAACCCCATTGTTTTGTTGTAACACTCATATGTCTGCTCATAGTCTATTTGATACTTCTCTGGTGCTTCCATTTTCCTGTTTTCTATTCTAATATCTATTTGCTTACACTTCTCTCCCCATCCTGGTTATTAATATAAAATTGATTATATTAAGGATTTCCTAAATATGACAAACATTCTGCTGGGCAATACGGTCTTTCCAAGTCCTTAAGATGACAGAGGTTGTGGTTAAACGTAGCACAGTCCTGGTAGCTGTGGGGATTTGGTACTACTGTTAATTATTTTAAGGAAGACGAAGTGCATATTAGACCGTTTTCTTTCTTTAATTTTAATGTTGTATATTGTGCCCATCTATACCAGTCATTGATTAGCGCCTCCTTCCATTACCTTCCTTCTGCTTCTGTTGGGGCTCTAACAGGTAAGGGGTTAAGGGCACTTTCCCAAGCAATAACTACTTCAGCAACACTGCCCCCTGGAAATGTAGTCCTTGTAAGTACTACATCAAATTGTTTATCTAAGTCTTGGGCTGTTATTCTTATGTCTATTATCCACCTGTCTTTTTCTTTTATTATCCTAAGGTCACAGTTACCCCATGCAATTTCCCCATAATTATTGTGTCAGCTCCTCCCACACCAATAATAATTTGACCCTCGTACTTTAATAGTGATCCCTTTCTGTACTTCAGTTGTGGTTCCTGCTTGTGCAAGAATATACATTCTAATCCTGTCTGTTTCTCTTCTCTGTCTTGTTCTTGTGCTCTTTACTATAGTCAGTATGCCATTTTCCTTTCTCAACTGTTCTGGTTTCCAATTTCTGTTAGGGAGACTAGTCAAGGGTAGAGAAATCAATGGTGGGGAAATCTGGTGAGTCTTGTAGGTCTTGTAGGATCTTGGAGGTCTTGTAGGATCTTGGAGGTCAGGGATGTTCTTGGAGGTCTTGTAGGATCTTGGAGGTCTGGGATGTTCTTGGAGGTCTGTAGGATCTTGGCGGTCTGGGATGTTCTTGGAGGTCTGTCCCTCTGCAAGTCGAGCTCCCCTCTATCCATACAGCCGTTGGTGTAGCCTGGGTGACAATGTATGGTCCCTTTGGCTCGGGACCTTCTTCTGTCACTAGGGTCTCGGGCTCAGGCAGAGTCTTTCTCAATTTATCAACATCGGTCTGTGGAGTGTGTCTTTCTGGCAGCGTACCAATAGGGAAGCTGAGAGTCACTGCTGCAAAGACACACAGACACAGACAGACACAAAATAAAACAATGCTACGTAGTGGCGGGGCCATCTTCCTCTTCTGGGGTTGGAACTCTCCTACAGTGGGACTCATGGATACAGATATCTGTCTCTTCCACTTTCACCATCATCGAGGTAGCCAGCCACACCGGTACGGGCCCCTCAAACTAGGGTCTTTCCAGCTCTTTC